ATATATATACTCCGCTTCGGTAGTAGATAAAGCAGTAACTGATTGTAGCACCACTCTCTAACTAATTGGTCCTCCACCACAAGTAAAAACTTACAACCCAATTAATTATTTGCGCAGCCGCGCAGCAAACATATAATATATAACAAGAATAGTAGAATAATAGTAATGGTTCTAGAAGTCAATAAACTACAACCCAATTAATTATTTTGAAAGGTGTCCATAGGCGCAGCCGCGCCGCAAACATATAAATATAATAGATATAGTAGAATAATAGTAACGGTTCCAGAAGTCAATAAACTACAACCCAATAAATTATTTGCGCGTTTTGATTCCAATTTCCAGCAAGTTTACACCGTCGATATTATTCCGGCAATTAACTCATTGACCAAATTGTCTATAAATACCACACAGCTCTCACCAATATTCTCACAATCAATACACTTACTCATCAGTTCATATTTTATAGACCGAAACTGAGAAAAAGCAGAGCATTTTCTTTTGAAGATTTACTTCCTTCCACTAAAAGAAATCAACATGGCTTGGAAAACAAATGATGCAGAATCTTTGCAATCCTCTGATGAGCTGAAACGCCAGAAGAAAATCAAAATGGCCATATATATTACTATTTTCGTTGTGTTTCAGATCATAGTTATCACCACGATGAGTCTCACTGTGATGAAAGTCAAGACCCCCAAGTTCAGGCTAGGCAGCAACATCGACGTCCAAAGCTTTGAATCTGTCCCGGCAACGCCTTCATTCGACATGAAATTCACAACCCAAATCAGGATCAAGAACTCAGCCAACTGGGGTTCCTACAAGTTCAATGCTGCCAATGTCACGTTTCAATACCAAGGTGCGACTGTGGGAGTAATTGATATCGCTAAGGGCAAGGTTGGATGGCTTTCGACCATAAAAAGAAATGTGGAGGTGAGTTTGAGTTCAAGTGCAATAACTGGTTCAAATCTTGGAAGTGAATTGAGCAGTGGGGTGTTGACGCTCAACAGCGTAGGAAGATTGAATGGAAAAGTTGCAATTATGTTCATAATGAAGAAGAAGAAGGCTACCAACATGAACTGCACCATAGCTTTTGATGTGGCAGCCAAGACTCTCAGATCTTTACAATGCAAATGAGCAGAGTAGCTAAGCATCCAGGATGCATCTACAGCATTTGGATTGCGACTAGCTAGTTCTTGATTTGTGACTCTTTATTCTTTTTATTCTTTGTATCTGTAATTTCAAATTTAAATGACCAGTAGGATATAAGATGTCGTAGTATTTCTATGTTTTTACATCGTTGCCACTGAACTTCATATTTTATTTATAATTTTATTTCAAGCATTTCATTAACTGCCATAATTGTAATTAATATACTCCCTATTAATAGCATATCAATCACCCCATTTCTTTTAGTTGTCATTCCCTCTCACATCTCGCCCACTAAAATTGCAAACAAAAAAAAAAAATTCTGTAAATTAAATATCCAATAATGTACCTATGAAAAATATAATATAAATATA